TATAGAGCTTATTGCACATGGCATAGATTGGTGGTGACATAATTATTTAATGTATTTAGCTTAAAAAATTAAGTTTAATTAAAAGTTTTATATTCTGTAAAATTTTTATTTTTATTTTTATTTTTAAAAAAACAACACTTATCAAGATATACTTGAATATTTAAAATCAAAAAGAAAACCGAAAAGTCAGACATCACAGTCAAATAGTGACATCTGATCCTAATCCAACGGCTGAGAATCACCCATCCGAAAAAACCCAAAAACAAACCCTATTTATAAATAAAAAGGAATTAAACAATCAAACTTTAAAAAATTAAAAAAAAAGGAAAAATCTCCCAAATATCTCCTCTCTCAGGATGGAACCCAACGAAACACAACAACAGCTAAGCTCCTCCTACTTCCATCAACCTCCCACCTCCACTAACATCACCCTCAACGTCGCCGCCCCTTCACCGACCAATGGCTTGCTTCCATCTAACGATGGGGCCCACATGGTCTCCCCCCACTCCGTTCCCTCCGCGGTGATGTCGCCTCTGGAGCCCGCCAGGAGGAAGAGAGGGAGGCCTAGGAAGTATGGCACGCCGGAGCAAGCTCTGGCCGCCAAGAAGACGGCGTCGTCTTCGAACAATTCTTCTTCGGCACGAATGAGGAGGGAACAAGCAGGCTCTGCCGCTTCGTCGTCCTATTCTGGGTCTTCTAGGAAGTCTCAGTTGGTTGCTCTTGGTGAGTTATACTAGTTTTCTATTGTGGGAATTTCCTGGATTTTTTTATTTTTATTTTTCGAATTTTCGTTCTCTTTTAAATAATTATCTGCTTCCTGCTTGGTATTGTTTTTTTTTTTCTCTTAATTTCTGAAATTTATGAAGGTTTTTCTTTTGCTAAATTGTTTGCGTTTCTGAGTTATTTGGTGCGTTGTGCATTTGATATATCCTTCGTTAAGGTAGTTTTGGTTCTCGCGCAAAGGATTTAGATTTTGTTGTTGTTGTTTTTTTCTTTTGGAAGTAGCAGATTTCAAGGTGGAGTTTTGGCATTTTGTGGGAGGCCAAGTTTTTGGCTTTCGTAGCGTTTTTATTGCTACTATTGTGTGTGTATGTTTGTGTGCGTTTTTGCAATGAATGAACTCATGGGTGCTTCTTTGTAAGTTAGGTTGTTGATGTTTGTGGTCTTTCTTAAGAACTGTAAGTTCGATGTATTTTTGGGTAGTTGGCTGAACTTAGGGGTTTGGATCTGTTTAATTTAAGAGGTATGGTTTTATCAGTTTGTTATTTCTTGATGTTAATATTAAGGTATCTGATCTGCCCACATAGGTTTTATCAGTCTGATAAGGGTAGTTATTAAATATCTCTTTTAATAGATTTTAAAAGATAGAAATCTGTCTTTTAAAAGTCTGCAATGCTATTAATTTATGACTTCTTCTGTTTTGTATTACATGTATTTGGGGCTGTGGGTAGACTTGATAACTTCTGTTTTCATGTTTTATAGAGCTGGTTCTTCTTATTACACTAGAAAGTTTACAATTTTTTTCCTGGCTTTTTTATGTGACTGTCCTGTAATTTATGTTTTTTTTTGGGTCCCCTTCTGGACCAATTTCCCAAGTCTAATAGGGAGTCCATGAGGCATTTGGTGGTCTGTGTTATATCTAGATCCTTTTTTATGGATACAAGAAATACCTTGATTTCAAGGACTTTTCTGCATTTCATTCAGCAGTCTTCCTTTTCTTTAGTTGCTATAGTTAATTCCTTTGATGCTTTTGGTAATGGCTAACTGAAAATTCCTCAACTTTTTCCATTTTACCTATAAAATTCATATGCATAGAATCTTTTCCTGTGAGAAAGTATTGGAAGCTATAAGGATTATAGTGCATAGTAGCATTTCTACATGTGTAGGAAGTTCTTGTCAGTAGTTTACATGCTTTCGATTCTCCCCTTTTGCCAGGTAAACTAATTTTTTCTCTGATGATATCCCTTTGTTCAATTAGCAGTTTCCATTACCATGACCTTTTCAGTTTTAGTTATCAAATGGTTGCTACTTAAGTGTGGAAAATGGGTTCAACCCATGTGTCATTTAATTGTATAAATGCCATATATGATGTCAAAATAGTATTATAAATGCGCATCTGAATGTACTTATTTTCATAGTTCTATTTTCTCATGTCTTAAATTTGGCTGCTTCAGGCTTTCCAGTTTTGTAGAGATTCATGTCTGATGGTTGCAGTTATTTTTAGTCTTTTTAAGTGAGATAACAACCTAACATGCCTTTAAGGAATTTTTTATTTGCATGCTGTTTTGCCTTTATAGGACATTTTCCATTTGTAACGTGCATCTATGTGTTACTTATTAAAGACACTTTTGTCGCCTAGCTTTCTTCCACATGCACCCTAAATCATTATGTGCAATATGCTTTTGTTATTTATACCTTGTTGCATGTTGGACATGTATAAATCTTTCATTTTAACCAAACTGGTACTTTCTAATTATTTGAATATTTAAAGCTTGTTAAAAGTGTTATATTTGGCTATATGATGCAGAATGGTTTAACGTTAGATTTTCTAAATAATTTAGAAATTGTAATTATATTAAATATAAAACTATTGTACTGTTTACGAGTCTATTTTATGTTATTTAGAAGTATTATTATAGTATTAGTAATTTAGAATTCTTATTCTTATTAGTATTTTTCTATTTGTATTAGGATTAGTGTATCTAATATTATTAATATTAGTTTCTTACTATTGTTAGGATTGGTGTTCTTAGATATTATTATAAATAGTTTTGTAATTTTGTTTATTAATCAATCAAGTATTCAATAATATTTGAGAGTTTCTCAGTTTTCTTGTTGTGTGATGCAATCAAATCCTGAAGTTTGATGCTTAAGATTTCTTAGATGTGATGTCTATGAAATCTTCGGTGAGATGTGTAGGTTTTTCATCCCCAAATCCCTAACTGGACAATCAATCCTATTTGTCCTACATCTCTAGAGTGTATACCTATGTTGATACTTCATAAGCTGGTTGGATGAGATGTATATTTGTGGTTCAAATGACATAATTCTTGTATGACTTAACACTTTGTGTGCTGCTAATGAACTTATGGATTTATGAATTTTGTATATACTGCAATTTGCAGCCTACATTCTTCATATGTTTGATTATAGAACATTCTGCTGCTGACCATGATTTATGATTGGTTCCCGATGAGTTATTGAGTTTTTGATTTTTCTGCTCCGCAGCTACACGTTATATTATTTTTACTATGTTTTTAGTTATGTTAACTTTCATTGTCATTATTGATATATATGTATATATAGACGTAATTGATATAGTGACTCTTGTGGTATAAATTAGATGCTTATTGTTCTCCTATTTCTAATTAATTGGGACAGGAAATGCTGGGCAAGGTTTTACTCCACATGTTATCAATGTAGCTGCTGGTGAGGTATGCACCCTTTTTTTTCCCTAAAGGTGGAATTTTGTCAGTTGTGCAATGTAAACTAAAATATAAACTAATAAACTTTACATGCGTACTAGATATGCATGCATGGTTTCTCAACTTTAGGTTTGATATAATCTTTTGAGCATGTGGTTTGTGAAAGGTCTAGTGCATGCTTTATTTGAAAGATTTTCAGGATTTCCTTGGCAAGGAAATTGTCGGGTATTTCCTTGGCAAGGAAATCGTGGGGTCTGATAAAGAGAGGGAGAGAGAAAGAGAGAGAATGGGGTTTAACTAACTCGATATGCTTATAGCACAGCACTGGATCAAATCAGTAAATCTCCAAATTAAATTGAAGAACAAAGGAAGTGCATCATTGCTTGGTAACATGTAATTAAAAATTTAGGCTTCATTTGGTTTCTAGAAAAGTTTCTAGTTTCAAATTTCTTACTTTGTATATGTTTATACATGTAAAAGCTTAGGCTTCATTTGGTACCTAAAAGAGTTTCTAGTTTTGATTTTCTTACTTTATATATGTTTATGCATGTGTTTACTCATTAAAGTATGTAAGAGGTGTCTTTGTGCATTCATCTAGTAAAAATAAAAATAGTTTTCTACAAAAACTAATTTAATATTTTCAAATTTTCAAACACCATATTTTCACTTTCATTTTCTTCATTGATAATTAACTTTATGTTTTTATGAATTAAGTACATATAGATTTAGGAAGTAAAAACTAAAAAACATTTTCATGTACGAAATTGGACTCTTATAATGCTAGTGTTAATATCACGTGAAAGAAGGAAAAGGAAGAAATGGTAGTTGACACAGTTTTCTATGTGGACTTGGCTTCTCTCTTGAAGCCATTATTATATTGATCTACATAACAGTTAGGAAGAATTTCCTAATTTGCTAGCTTGGCCAGGATTTTGGGTTGCAAAGTCACTAATGTGCCTAGCAAGTACCTTGGTCTCCCACTTGGGGTGAAATATAAAGATGTGAACATGAGAACCCATTATTGACATGTTTGGTAGAAAGTTAGCGGGTTGGAAGAGGAATTTCTTTTCTAAAGCGGGGAGACTCACTTTGATTAAGATCACACTTGTTAACTCATCAATCTACTATCTATCCATTTTAACAATTCCGGCCAGCATAGCTAGAAGACTTGAAAACCTTCAGTGTAGATTCCTTTGGGGTGATGAGGATGGTAACAAAAAGTATCATTTGATTAGATGGGAGGAGGTTAAAAAACCGGTTTGGGAGGGAGGCCTTGGTTTGAAGTCTATTGTGGAGTTAAATTAGACTTTCCATGGGAAATAGCTGTGGAGATCTCTTGGGAGAAGGGAAAATTATGATGGAAGGTAGTTCATGCTAGATAGGGAGATTGGGAGAGGGAGAGTGGGAGAAGGGGTAAATTTAAGGCTCACAGGATGAGCCTCTGGAGGAAGATTAGGAATGACGGCCAATACATCAAGGGCTGTGTGGGTTGGAAAGTTGGTAGGGGTGATGGGACTAGGTTATGGCATGATAAATGGATGGGGAACTGCAGCTTAAAAAACAGATTCAAAAGAATTGTTGACATTGCTTGCAATAAGGATGCTAAGGTGGAGGAGATGTGTGAGTTTATGGGGGAGGATAGGGTGTGGGATGTGAAGGTGAAGAGAAGATTACATGACTGGAAAATTGATGAGTATAGCAGCCTGCTTTTGTCTTTGACAGAAGCAAATTTGAACACATAAAATGATAAAAGAATATGGAAGCCTGATGAGAAGAAAAGCTTCTCGGTGAAATTTTTATACAGCTGTTTGACAAAGAAGGATAACAACCGCAACATGCCTGCTCCGTATAAGCAGATTTGAAAATCTAAAGCCCCTCCTAGAATGACTTTTTTCGCATGGGAGGCGGCTAATGAATGTATTTTGACCCTGGATACGCTTAAAAGGAGGGGGAATGTGCTGGTTA